CACACACACACACACATACATACACACACATCTTTGATTATTTTGAATATTTGAATCCCAGGTGTAACATTTTCTTTAAGAATAAAATTAGTGAACTCTGGGATGTAAAATATTTTATATCCCGGAGTTTACTAACACACACACACACACACACACACACACAAACACATACACAGAGTGGTGAGGATGGCTGAAAATATTATTGGCAGTTCCCTCCCTTCCATCCAGGACATAGCATATAAGCATTGCTTGAGCAGGGTTCACACGATTGTCTGGGACACTACACATCCTCTTCATGACCTGTTTTCTTTGTTACCTTCTGGGAGGAGGCCAGGGGAGCCCTCTTTTATGGGATTCCCCTGGCTTGTAATCACACAATTCCATTGGCTGGTAAGACCCCGTTGCTAGTTAGCCAACCAGCAACGGGCATGAAACTGTATGCAGATGGAGAAGGGCAATCACCCTTAATGGGTGATCAGGATGCGCATAGGGGATTAAGGGGGGGGGATACAAAAGAACACAACACCCCTCCCCTCAAAGTTCTTGCTATCATCCTTGATGAATAGTGGTTACATAGTCCTTCAGATATGTGGGAGGCCGATGCCCTCGCGTTGATCGGCGGGGAACTGTGTGACTCGGTTCAGCTCTTGCCTCGGTACTCTTCCCTCTGCGTGGTTGTCCTTGGGCCGCTGCACTGGGTCTCACTTCTCGAGGTGGTTGACTGACGGGTGGAACCAATGGCCAATACTCGTCCCCCCCGTTGTCTCTGGCCCCGCCCGTGTTGTCGGCCATGCTTTCTTGGCGTAACCCAGCGACCCCGATTCGGCCCCTCAGTTGATCAAGGTGGCGCCGCCAAACCCGGTTGTCCTCCACGCGAACTTCATAGGATCTGGGCCCGGCGATGGAGATGATGGTCGCTTTCACCCACTTCGGCTCCCCCGCATGATTAAGGGCATACACTAAATCCCCCTCCGTAAAACCCCGAGTTACCTTTCTGGATTCCGGTGGCGTGTCCGTTTGGTAGCTGGGATGGAGGCGATCCAGGGGTGACCTCACTCATTGTGGTGGACGGCATGGGGATCACCTCCAACCACTTCGAGTAGGCATCCACCGTTATTAAATAAGATCGGCCCTCCACGGGGCCGGCAAAGTCAACGTGGAGACGGGACCACGGTGCTCGTGGGATCTCCCACTCCAATGGGGTTGCTTTCAGTGGGGCTGAGCGGGATTCCTGGCAAGGCTCACAGGTGGCTACCCA